AATGTTTTAGATCTAAATACCACAGTTATCGCAGGGAAACCGAGTCGCATACAGGGGAAAACTGAAGAAGCTGCTTCAGTTGGTGTTCAAACCAGGAAGCCACTACTGAAATTTTACCAATGGTTTTGATGGAAATCACAGCCCATCTGGTAACATCCAAGTTAGTTGTTCAGTTTATAACGAATTATAATAATACAATTGATCTAACACCCCTAAGAACACCATAAGCTCTCTGTGAGTCAGTCAAGCTGTTCCCACTGCTTACTCTGCCTACAACCATCACACACACCCAGCACAGCTGTACACCTATAAGCCTACCGGCTTATGCTGAGAGGATCATGAACTGCAAAGCACTTCATGGTTTTGCCGAAAAAGATTATCATTTCTAAACCCCATAAACAGAAACAGGTAGACTTTCTCAGTTCTCAGGGTCAAATAGCTTCCAGTGCTGAGATTTACACAGACCATTACCAACAAGATGGGCAGATGCAAACTACTTCCTCATCACCCATCACATAATGTTCACTACATCATCACTGCAATATTTACAAAGTTCATAAGCATAATACCAGTGAATTATGGTTTCATGCCACTTTCTGTAAGACTGTATGTCTCCTGGAGGGATGGGTCTTTGATTTTCAGGCTCCAGAGGTAGCCCTTACATTCCAGAACAGCAACCTGTTGGGGATTTATGGGCATTTCACAGGTGTTTAATGAGGCTTACACTGTAAGCAACCTTAACGGCTTTCGTTCAGGGAATCCTGAAGCACATCCAGTAAAGCCGATGGAGCCTGAAACACCTTGAAAGAAACACTGAGTGAATCAAAATAATCAGCCTGCCCTTTCCCTCTGTCCCAGCTTTGGTGGTAAATACAAGGCACACATATACAGAGAATAAACTGTCCCTCTTTTCTTTCTGTTTCCTCAGTATCATAGTACATTCAGGACAGAGTCAAGACTCACTGATGTATATCTGTGAGTTTTTTAAACATATAGACCAACTTCATTCTATTTCAATTTTTTGTCTAAAAATCTGATTTTCAAGGAAAAAAAAATGTACCTGACCCGAAGGAGTATAAAGCTTTAGTAGACACTGGTGCCCAATGCACCCTGACGCCATAAAATGAAGCAAGGTAAAGGGGCCTGCACCAGAGATCCAGTTTTTAGGAATAAAGTGGCAAGATGGATGTCATCAGATCCCAATGGATGTGATCAATAAAATAACAGCTATGTCTCCACCAACTAACAAAAAGGAAGCACAAGCCTTCTTAGGCATTGTGGGTTTCTGGAGAACGCACATTCCAAATTACAGCGAGACTGAGCTCTCTCTAACAGGTGACCTGAAAGAACAATGATTTCACATGGGACCCTGAGCAACGACGAGCCTTTGAACTAATCAAAGAGGAGATAGTCCATGCAGTAGCCCTTGGGCCAGTCTGGACAGGACAAGACATTAAAAATGTTCTCTACGCTGCAGCCAGAGAGAACGGCCCTACCTGGAGCCTCTGGCAGAAAGCACCAAGGGAGACTCGAGGCCTAACATGTCTTCATGTGTAATGGGCAGATGTGTAATGAAGACATGTAAGCAACATTTTGAGATGTTATTTAATAGTAATGTTTAATGACATTCTAAAAGGCAAAAATCTTACTCTTGGAAGGTATTATAGTGCCTAAATATCTTTATGCACTTGGGTCCCCCTTCCTAAGAAGGGTTTATATTTGCAAAGGTAGCATTAGAGTACTGTAATTTAATAAACAGTGTTTCAAAGTCAGATGAGTTAGAGTTATACATACATGTAGCCTTAGATCTGATGTATTTGCCATCTAGCACCTAACAGACATAATATTCTCAAACATTTTGGACAAGGTTTTCCTAAAATTAATAGTTAGAATGAAATCCTTATCTAGTTTCTTTAGGAAGCTATTTGTTTTAAAAAGCAGCTCCTGCAAAAGGAAATGAGGCATGAAGGAAAGAAACTTTTGTGAGATGCTCTCATTTACAACCAATAGGAGCAGTGGCTTTCTCACTTTCAAGGATCCGTGCTGCTACAGGTCCTTATTCAGATATACTCTATATTTAATATAAATCTTCATGAGGTAAAAATTATTTTCATTTTCACAAATGTTTGTGTGTACAGTATTTGCCTCTGCAAACTTTTACAATCTAAACCAGAATATTTTGAAGCCCAATTCTTCCTCCACACAGTGGTTCTGCTGTTTAGCAGATCTTTTCAAGTTTAGATCTACAAATGCAATTGATCTACAAAGCCTCTTTTGTATCAAACAACTTTTTTGATTTGTAAATGCTTGAAGAGTGTTGATGCTGATTGCTGTACCCTTTTTATACTACCCTTTGCTGTTGGTGAAGTTGGGGTCATGCTAACAAGGGGCAACTACCCTGGAAAGAGGTAGGAGGCAGAAGATTCACTGGAGGAAGCACCATTTTGTCCAAGGTAGAGACAGACTCCTTGGCTAGGAAACCCTTCAGCA